GGAAAAAGCTTGGATGCACCCACTCTAAACTACCTTAGTGACTTAGTGGAGCATTTTGCAGCAGACAGATATTTCTCTCAGGAGGTGATGGAGACCAAGCAGAGCTAGAATATTAGACTTAATATTGGACTTTCATTCATCAGGTGGACAGAGACAAGACTCCAAATTAATGTTTGTTGCTCTTTGTCTGCTGGGCGTGTGAATAAGCACACCCAGCAGCTTTCTGTTACATATTAACTTTATGTGATTCTTTTCCATTTACCATTGATCTGTTGACTAGTAAGAATCGTCCTTGTCCAATAAACTAATAAAATAAATAATATGTCAATGTTGTGTTCACAGCTCGCTGTATCCAAGTGGTCAAAAAAACAATTAATGTTAGTTTCAATAACAATAATGTTTACAAAAAAAGTATCATTGTTGTCAGGTTCAAGTTCCAATTGCAATCCTCTCCAAAGCAGGACATCGCAGTTTGTCAAAGGCTACACCATTTTTTTGAATTAGAAACAACACTGTAAATCAGCATCTCAGTCGTGATTTTAAAAAAATGTGAGGTCTCTGAATGACATGCAAGTTTTAAAGCTTCCCCTACTTTGCCAACAGCTTGGTACGTAACATCCAGCCAATCCTGAACCCCTCTGCAGCCCATTGCACTGAGAAGATATATCTCTTTACACCACTGCAAGGTCAAGGGCGAAGAGGGCGCTTGGCAGCCAGACGAGGATCTTCTGTAGCCAGTCATCAACCACACTGGCTGGCTGAGCCGACTGAGCTCACACCTCCCTCTGGATCAATAGAAACAGAATCACGGGTCCAGGCCAAGGGGGAAGAATTCAGATATTGCTCCTGTCCAACAGCTAAAATAAGACCATTTCTGAAGGGTGCTTTGGTAGACACTGGAATTATTATTACGCAGCAGGAAAATGACAACAGTGGCATAATGACATTGATATATTCAGACCTGTACACAAACACACACTCTACATTCCCTTTCAAGTGCAAACTATATTTACACAAACCCTTTGTTTCAGCTGAATCAATTCACACACAAACAAACACACACAATATGGAACAACGCTTGACACTATCTACACCGGTATACCCATTATTGTGCACTAGCTAGAGCTGCAACGATTAGCTGATTAATCAATTAGTCAATCAACAAACAATTGCTATTTTGGTGGCAAATGCTTCTCAAATGTGAAAGTTTTCTGCTTCTATTTGTCTTGATAGTAAACTGACTATCTTTGTGATTTGGACAACTGTCACATAAAACAAGGATATATGTCACCTTCAGCTCAAGGAAATTTTGATGGACATTTTTCACCGTTGTCATTAACATTTTACTGACAGAAAATAATCAATAGTTTAATCCATAATGAAAATAACTGCTAGTCGCAGCCCTGGTATGTACTTCTATCAAACTTACAGAAGCAATAAGAAATTTCTGATTAGGTATACAAATTTGATGTTCATCTATGATTCATCTTTTTGTTCTATCACAACAATTTCAAGGCACACAGAACAAAAAACAGTTAAGAGAAAATATCACACGATCCAAGCAAGAGATTGATTTCATAATAGTACCTGCTCGATCTGAAGTGTTTTCACCTCACAGCAAGACCATTTGCGAGATAACTCGTGAAAATGTACTGCATCACCATGGCAACCAGCAAAGTGGATGCAGAGACACCAGTCTCCACAAGGCTGCAGCTCAGCAAGAGCATAGCATGTATGAGGGAAAGTCCTTCAATAAAGTGCTCCCCATCTCTTAAGGGAACACAAAGAAATGGTTATATTTGTTCCTACTGACCCAGGCAGCCATCTTCCTGTCCAGAGGAATGATTGATACACACTGGGGCATTTGAGTGGAGAAATGCTGAAGAGGCATTTATATGTTAATTCACCTGCACATGAGGAGAAGGTGGCATGTTGTGAACCTCAAAGGCTGTCTGCATCCACATGAAGCAGTGACGGGGAGAGCTGGACTGGTAATTAAAGGCTTTCATTCCTCACCTAAGCGGCTAGCTGGTTTAATAGTAGAAATCAGTCAGCACTTCTGAACCTTAGCGCAGCACGAATGATGTCAGGACAAGGGGATGACATGTAATATATCCAGTGAGAAGGGCAAGTATAATACCATAAAGTGTAAGGACTGAGGGGAGTGATGTAACTTCAGAGACAGACTTAAAAGGAACTAAAAACATCCATTGTTGCAACTGCTCACATGTTTTATAGCGTTTGTTGTCAATCCAATAATGCTGGTCACCATTTTATCCTGTGTATAAAGAATTAAACTGAATGCCTAACTAGGCAGTTTAAGGGTACAGTACTTAGTAGACTTCAGAGCAAAGCACAGAAACTAAGCAGCAGCAAATCTAGAACTGAAATAAAGGCGTTTATGGGAATCTAGGGAGGTAGGCCAGTTAAGCTGAAACATCATTAATAAAGCAGCCTTTATAGTTTAAGCACAAAATGAAATGTATTGATTAATTTGCAGATAAATCTTTATTGCACTTGACTGGCCCTGAATGATGGCACTTTTCCTAATGCTAATCACAGGTAATAGTAAAGGCTTCCATTCCTGGCCCAGTGGGAATTTCAGCCACCACTTGGACTGCACTGCTGCATTCAATTCAGACAATGACTGACAAGGACCTTGATTATTTCAATCAGGCAAGTTGGTGACAGGATTGAACCACAATGGCACTGGTTCCCAGGAGATAGGGCTGGGACTACTGGAGGAAATTGGCATGACATAAGCGCAGAGCTGAAAATACAGAGGTTTGATTGATTATTTGCTCCCCGATCAAATCCCCTCCTTATGATGGGCACTGGATTGGTCCTGTGTTTTATGAAATTAAATAGGCCTATGCACTAAACTCAGCCACAGAAAAAGCCAGGTGACACACTTTACGGGCTATCATTTTATAAAATCTTATCTTATCTAAGCCTAGGCACCAGACTGAAATATACTTGACATTGATATCTCCTTTTTAGCACCAGGAAAGCAAGTAGTTTCCCTGTGCACATAGTGGTTTCAAGTGGTATGTCAAAGCATAGGGATAACATCTTGGCTGCTTGAATATAATAGTGTATAAGCCTGTGAATCCGGTCACAACTTAGGTTAGGGTTAGGTTTTTCAGATGGAGAGATGAGGAGCATATAGGCTATCAGTTGTCTGACAGTTGAGGGGTTATAAGGAAATAAAATGCCCTCAGAGCAACCAATGATGACTTGTGCAGTATAAATGCGTTTGAATGGATGCAACAGTAGGAGCAACATGTCTGAGTCATTCAACATTAACAGACCATATGAAAACAAAGCAAAACATAACCCCATCTGCTTGTCAACATATGCATGCAACTTCGAATATGTTGCACAATGCACTTGTAACAATACAAATATTGTACAAAAAAAAAAAAGATATAAAGGAAACGGTAAATTTTGTGCGCTTTGCAATGCCTGTTATTGGACAAACCGTACCCTGTGAGGCTATTCAAAATTCAAGTCACACACATCTGTCCACAGACAATGTGGTGTCACTGAACAGCAGTCAAGCATCAGGACTGCTAGCATATAGCCCATAGCTAACAAACAGCGTTAGGATGAATGAAGCCGGCGTGAGTGTCCGTACCTTTCAGCACCACCACGACCTCGGTGCCGGCTGCATCTTCCCCCTCCGCTCCGCCGCTGGTCGTGGGCTCGTCTCCCTCAAACAGCTGGTTCACCTCCCCCTGGATGTCTGAGGGGCGCCGGTCGCCGTCGCTCTTGGAGACGGTGAACCTCTGGCTCATGGTTGTCGCCGGTGAGACAAGCCACGGGTCTTCTTGCCACGGTGCGGGCTGACGTGGACGGACAATGGCAGTGAAAAATGCTCTTGTTTCTCCTCGTATGGTAGCCCACCTTCAACGCCTGCTAAGTTCACCTCCGACTACTCTGACCTGGGCGACCAACTGCTCTTTGTCGGGTAATCAGATGTGTAATGCCGAGTGGACCATCTCATCAACCGGTGTCTGCTGGCTGCCGCGCACCTGGGTCCTAAAGCCGATTGATCACCGTTTGTGGCGCCGTTTTAAAGACAAGGTAAACACACTTGTTTAACCACAGGAGACGCGTTACGATACTTCACGCAAACACATGAGAAATGCATTCCTTAATTATTATAATTAAACGTTATTCTATAGGCTATGTATTATATATTTTTTAATTGTGGCATTCAAAGAAATGCAGCCCTCTACGCTTCTGAGTTGGCGTTGCTAGGCAACCACAGAATAAGCTAAAGCTGTCAGTCACTCAACCAGCTGCAGTTTATTAGTTACTGATTAAGTTATTTTTGCCTCAACGACAGTTTAAGTTTTCAAAACCAATGACAACACTTAAAGATACATAAAACAAAACCAAAAAAAAGAAAAAATAAATCCCGACAAAAAGTCAGGAAAAAACTGTCTGCTGTCAAGCCTGGATTACCAACCATACAAAGTATAGGAGTTGGTCAATTATAACTTCCCAGCCAAGGCATCCAGTGGTATAGCATGTGACAGTTTGTGCCCAAGGCTGGATAAACAAACAGGCAAACTGGGAAACCAGTGGGAGATGTATTCAGATCCTCCCTAAGTGAGAGTACTAATACCACACTGTGAAAACACTCCACTGGAAGTAAAAGTCCTGCATTCAATCATAACCTTACCTAAGTAAAATTATGTAGCCCAAGTTCCATCAGCAAAATGTGCTTTAAGTATGAAAAGTAGTCATTGTGCAGTAAAATGGTCTCATCAGTGTTTTACTATTACATCTGATATTTTGGATGAATATTATTGCAGGATTTATGTGCATCAAATATATACACTGTTGGGTAGCATATTCCATAAAAGCATCAGAAGTTTAGCGTCGCTGTCCTGTGAGAACCATGTATCTCTCTAAAAAGACTTTTCATGAGCTTGGAAAAACAGCACTGTTTTTTCAGCTTTTCAACAATGCATTTACCAGATAATCCAAGAGGGGTTTCAAATAGTTTATTTGGTTTAAGAAGTAGAAGAATTTTCTCAACACATAAAAGAATACTCAATCTTGCAGTTTATCACAAACATTCAAAATCAAATTCCTTTCATTTTTTTCTGCATTTTGAGAAATCAACACTTAGAAAACCTCTGTTAGAATCATATTATCTCTTATTAGAGAACTACTAAGCTGCAACCAATGATCAATGGCAGTTAATTTCTTTCATATTAATAGATTGTTTAGTGCATAAAATGTTAGAAAATAGTGGAAAATGCCCATTGTTATCCCCCGAATGTCAAATTAACAAAGCAGCAAATATTCATTGTACATGAGTTCAAGTATCTGTGGGTCACATTGGCCTCTACATTATCCTTTAATAGTAATGCGGAAAAGGTGTCAAACACTGTAAAATTGAATTTACTAAAAAAAAAAATTACACATCGAGTAATGTTTTACCAGCTGGTCATTTACAAGAGAAACAAAACCACAAGAAAATCAATAGAATCACTTCTCAAGAAAGCCATAAAAGTTTTAGATTAAAAAAAACACCTTCATTTCATCATTACAGTACACTGGAAAAATATAATCTATTGAGTTTTGAGAATCAATTGCATGGACTTGCCCCACCACCTTTAAATGAATTCATTAAAACAAAAAAACAATTGTACTTTTTCACAGATTTAGTAGTTTTTGATGTGAGGGAATATTTATTATAGTCATGCCCTAGTGCATTTACCATAAGTCATTCCAGGTATTCTGAACCCAATCCTTGACACTACTGTAGTAATAATTAACTGTATCTGTAAAACACTGATGCAGCATATTATTTAGTCTTTGAGAATGCATGGACCATATTTCTGGATTATCAAAGTCAAGGTCTCCTTCATGTGTGCAATTTTCATTTCCTGTGCAGGGAAAAAAAATGGACATCACAATTAATAACAACCCCAAGATAAATTTCACCACAGTGTATATTGCGCACTGTGGTGCACCAAAGTTGATGCTGCTGAGAATAAATGGTAAGAATCACTATCTGTATCTGACTGTAAGGACACCTTACTGTACATGAACAAGTCTCCATGTCTCACCTTCATATGTTTTGAGGACCTCCGGTTTGTCCCCGCCAAGACAATTTGTCTGTGTTTCAAACTCCTTCATCTCAGCAGCAGTGACATTCTTTCTCTTACCTGTTAAACATTTGACACATTTGAGATGAAAGCCTTGTAATGATATTCTGTCTCAAAATGTCTGCAGTATAAGGTATTTAGTTTAACCCAGTTTAACCCACATTAATGCACATGTACTACATTTTACATATTTATATTATATGCTATTAAATGCCTATTAGAGATAGAGGTAGATACACATTAACAACTCAGAATTAGTTAACATAATTTTAGTCATGTTAGTGACATGGCTCTCGGGTGGCAAGCTTTTGGTTAGTCCTACTACTGGATGATTTGCCATGAAATGCTGAACAGACATTCATGTCCTTCTCTGGATGAATTGTACTGATTTTGGTTATCTCTTATAGTGGCTATAACTAATATTTTACCTTTACAATGTATTAAATGACAATGTGAAAACAGTGTTATAATGTGATCGGGTCAGTGATGAACCTACAAAAATTTACCCCTCAACCTGCCATTCCCCTTGGCCTGACAGAGCTTCAGCGTGCCTTTCTGTTCATTGTTTAGCTGTCTGGCCCACAACTTTACTTTGCTATATCCACTTGAAAGTTGATGAGTGCTGTGTTCACAACTTGTTTCCACTGCCCCCAAGTGGCCAAAAAAATCAGTTAATGTAGGTTTAACTTTTCATGTAGTGCTATCAAGTTGTCTAGATCTTTGGTTTATGACTATATACCTGCAAAACTATCACATTCCCATCAGCCCCGGTGTAATGACCAAATGTTGGCATGCTAACACATTAAACTAAGATGGTGAGGACACAGATGGGCTCACTCAATAGACATATTAAGCTGGAAACACGAGAGCCTTGAGACTAAATTTGGATTAACTGAAAGATTTTTAGGCCCGACTGAGTCTGGAAGAACACAGTAAACAGGACAGTATACCTGCTTAACACCAGCATGTTAGCATTGTTATTGTGAGCATGTTGTCAAGCTGTCTTTAGTATTTATTTCAAAGCACTGCTGTGCCTAAGTGCAGCCAAATTTATCACTTACTCCAAAGTAGAAGAATATAATAGACGTCACCAGCCTTCGTAACAAGACAGTCAGGACACCCACTTTGCAGAAGCCCAAATAGTTTTTCTTTGCGGTCATCTATTGGAAACATCAAAAGAATGTGGATGAAAATAACACATTAAATGTTTTACATTACAAGTATAATGTCATAATGAAATTAACAATTCATCTGCATTAAAATGTTGAAAATACAACATTTTATACTACAAATGATTTCAAAGCCTATAACAAATCTTAAATGTATCCCAGTTTTAGCACAATGTCTGCATTGTTCAAAATGTCTAAAGCAACAACATTAAACATCGGTGCACACAGTATATTGAAAAAAAATCTTACTGTTGTCAAATGTAGAGCCATTCTGATAGAAAAATGCAGAACTATTTTGGCAAATTCCATACCTGCCAAGGATTTATTAAAAAATTAACAGACAGAACTTGACTGATTTAACAGCTATACAGGGCATGGTGATGTATGATGCACAAATGCACTGACTCTATAAAGCATCTTACTTTTAAAGATTCATGCCAGTAAAAAGATTCCTTACATTCCAAACCTAAAGTTGGCGTCATAGATGTTTGATGTATCAGTTGCGATAATATCCATAGCAAAACTGGGCCATAAAAAAGCATTCAGAAATCCTTTAAAAATACAGGCATTTGAGGACATGGCTATAAGGTACCATCGCCCAGAAATCTGAAAGAACAGAAGAAGGGAATTTATGTATTTTGACTTCAATGTTTGGCAATAATCTGAAACCTTCAATGTGAATTGTTTTGCTCACAACACATTTCAGGAAAGAGAAGTGTAACACAAATAGATTAAGAAGGTTCAATTTAATTTAGTCTGATAACATTGATACATTGTTATTTATAAATGTGGTTGGAGACTTACATCTTTGTCCACTGGCTTCAGCAGCTGCTCACAGGCCAGCGATGCAGCCTGGCACACTGAGGTGAGGCTCAGCACAACAACAGCAACACACAAAGTCTTCATCATGGCTCTGATGCCTCTCTGCCTCTGTCTGGTCTGTCTTATACTGATATCACTGACCAATTATTTTGTGCCTCAACCCCTCACACCCTGTTTGAGTTGAGACATTGCAAATTACGGTAAACCAGATGTTAACCTTGAGTGTTATGCCAAAAAAACCTTATATTTGCTTATCAAACACACTGTGATGCAACACAGGCCAAAACAGGAACAAAGGGACATCAATGATGGTTTCATGTCTAACAACTATCCAATAACTGTGTCTGTCTCAAGAAATCACTCAAACTAATCTTTCAGTAAACTATCAACTGTTATGTCTTCTATTCATTTTCGCAGCTGCACATCCTGTTTAGGGTTTAGGGAGGCAAATGCCTTTACCAATTTACAGTTGTGGACCAACTACATATTGTTGATTGTTGAAATGCGAAATAGATACAGTCCCTGTGGCAAACAGACACTAAGAATGAGCCTTTCTTCAATTTTTGATACATTCTTACTTTGTATTTCACAAACTGACAAACACAAACATTAAACAGTAATTGTGGCAGGTCAAGAATTACCATTAGGAATTGTCAGCTGATGATAGATTCTGACTTGAACCTTGTGGTAACACTCAAAAACCATGAAACCATATCAGCAACTAGCTGAGGATCTGAAAATGAAGATAGGGGGAGGTTATAAAACATAGCCAGATCATCAGAGTTGCCTACCTTGATCAAACATCTTAGTGGAACCACATCAAGTTTGACTGTGCTTCAAATTTCAATAAACTGGTAGGTTTGGCGTACATTCAAATTCACTGTCGAGAACATTGTCATTTCAGTGAGAGGAAATCATTACAACAGATGCATAAAGTCTCTGGTTCATCATGATATGCATAAAGGAAAATGACTTGGAAGCAACATTTTCATCTGTCAGTATTTGTTTATTCAACAAGGCACAATGAGCCACAGCAAGTATGAAAGCTCCAGAGGTGATGATACATCACAACAACAACTTGTAGATTCCTACAAGACACACTGTACTCAGAGAGAGTAAGGGAACAGCTGTCTTTATAAAAGACAAACATTTTACAATATTGGAGGACACTGTAGTCACTCTCCTTTGAGAGTTTTTTTTCCAAATGGATTAAACTTTTGTGATTACTGAACAAAAGAAACAGTTCAAATTGACCTCACAACAGGTCAGATTCTTTAACAAAAAATGTAGTTCATTCTCAAAAAGTAAAACTTATATTGTCACTGGAAACTGTGACCAATGTGACATTAAGAAACCTTTTACAATAAAAAGGATTAACATGTTGATCTTAAAAACAGATCAGTTTTGAAATCACATAAAGTGAGAAAAAGTCAATCATGACAAAATGTCCATAAAACAGGACAATTAAGATGTTTGATCAAAATGATCAATAGTACTGAAGAGGCAACAAATATCACTGTTGCATTATATTTACCAATACATGACACACAGTGAAGCCCAAACATATCACAGCAATTGTGATATTTAGCAAAACTTTAAAAAAAAAAAAAAAAAAAAAAGGAATTAAACATTTGGACCTTACAACAGATCAGTTTTGAATAATCAAAGAGATTAAAATATCGTAAACATCAATTATGACAATATGTCCATAAAAAAGGACATTCAGTAGTTTTTTTTATCAAACTGATCAATACCAATCAAAAGATAACAAATGTTACCATAGCATTATACACCACGATACATGATGTATTGTGAAGTATGATAATAATAATTGCTGATGCAATTATATTTGATTCATGCAACATGCATGATCTCTTTCTTAACTTGAAAGATATTGTTGTTGTCATTTCCATTAGGAAATCTCATCTTACACAAAGAAACACACAAAATACAAACTACAGCCTTCTGTTCATACAGAAGAACAAGTCCTTAAATTTCATAGAATTCAGTTGCAGTAATCTTTGACCAACATGGTCACCTCAGTTTGTCTAGTAGTAAGTCCAGTCTGTAAGTGTCTACCACGGCCTCCAGAGGGCGCTGTTGACTGGACTGTTCTCTTTGGTGATGCTGGTCTGGACTGTGGAGCTCAGGAGAGAGAAGTCAGCCTCCATCAGGTTTTTATCAGAGGAAGACTGCAGCTTGTTGACAAGGTTCAGCAGTCTTCTCTGCTGTTGATTCTGCTGCTGCAGCTGTGTCAGGAAGCAAACGGTCATCTCCAGGATGTCTGCTTTCTCCAGCTTGGAGTCTGGCTGCTGTTTGAGGAAGTCTGGACCCAGCAGAGACTTGAGCTGCTCGATGCTGCTGTTGATTCGCTCTCTGCGTAACTTCTCCACCAGAGGTTTTCTGAGCTGCAGAGAGAAGAACAAAGTCATTAATAAACATATTCTGGAGTATAGTAAGTGTTAGCATTAACAAATACAACTTGTCATGAATGAAGATTGAGTCTCCTTGAATCTCCAATTTACCTTGTGGGTCAGAGTCAGATGCTCCTGAGAGTTGGTCATTGGTGCAGTGATTGTAGGTGCCATGGCTGGATCTGTGTGCTGTCGAGGTGTCTGTAGAGAGAATCTGATCTCTGCTGTCTTCATCCCTCCTATTTATAGTCCCACATCTCCATATGAATGTGTGGGTCTTGGTCTGGCAGGAGTTTCTCACAGTCTCAGCCAATGAGGGAGCTTGGTGAGACAAAAGGACATGTGGAACAGCAACTTGCTGAAGGTTGTTACATCACCTCAGGGACAATAGCTAGATCTCAGGGGAACAGTTAACTGGGGGGTGATGGAGAGAGACTCACAGAGCTCTGTGTGAACCTGGGAAAGTGGTGACCCTGTAGAGAGAGCAGATGACGCTAGGATCAATGACTTTGACTGAGCACACGCTCATTATGCCATCACACGTGAAGGAGAAAAACATTCATGCTGTAATTAATGAATTACACTTCATGAGAATAAATATGTAGAAAAACGATTTTTTTTCCTTTTTTCTAGCACTTCTATAGAGCCACAGCATAAAATGTAGCAGGTAAAAATCATCTATTTTTTGAATTTCATAATTTAGCTAGTTTAATATTTAATGTTATACAACTTGATAATTTCATCTTAAATTTTGATTAATCAAAAATGCACCATTTAGTAAAAGCAATACCATAAGATATCATTGTCCATTCTTGGCATTTAAAATAACCTCAAGACAGTAATCCTGCTGCTGCCCACATGTAGCGGAGTCTTTGGACATGTGCCGCCTTTTAGTCAGTGTGTGCAACAAGCTGAGCTCAGTTTCCCACACTGACTCCCTGAGCTGTGGTCAATGAACAACAAAAGGACTTCAGTGACAGATGCTGGCTGTGCGTTGTTATAGAAACAGAGCCTGAAATCACCGACCATCTGGAAGGAAAGGATCCCATTAACTGGCAGTGACAGTTTGTAAAATTGCAAAATCTCTCATTGAGTATCAACAAAGTGACTTGGCATCTCACATTTCCAACATGTAGTCATTACTTTACATTTTAAACTTCAAGTCATAATCATGTGTCATTACTGACCATGGATCCAAACTTTAGCTCTATACATGTAGGTGGGAGGTTTCTGAGGGGTAGCCTACCCTAATTGTCTCATGAAGTGTGCCAAATCCCTTTAGAGAATTACTTTACTGTTGGTGGAGTGGATGTCATTCATAACTGCTCTCCAGAGCTTTCCCACACATGGTGCATCAGCAGAAAAGAGACATGTGCCTCTCTACAAATTGACTTTTTAAATATTGTGGCACAGCAGTGTGTGGGCAGCAGGGATATTCGGTGAGATGCACAGAAAAAATAATTACTCCTGACAGTGAAAATAGGTCATACAATCAACGAGAAAAATTACAATTAATCACTTCACATTCTAGACACTTAAATAGTTAATATTGAAAAATGTTAAAATATAAATAAATAAATAAATTAAAAAAAAAGAAGAAAAGAAAAGAAAAAAAAGAAAAAAAAAGAAAAGAAAATCTTTTTGTGTGTTGGGTTGGGATCAGAACATCAGGGCAGAACATCTGATTATGTGTTTGTCCACTCAGGTTGTAATTAATGTGACAGGAAGTAAACACTTAAACGACCTTTCCCGTTTTGCCCGACACCTCCAACCCCAAAACACTGGTCGTGGTTCTGCTGCGCTTTGCTCGGTCTTCTATCAACATACCGATGATTTTTGGATTAACAAACCAAGTCTAGTTATTTAAAGCTCTTTCCGGCAACTTTACACAAAAGGCAGAAGGAAATAAGTTTGTTTGAATCTTAAAAATCGTTTCTACTGTTAATGATATCCTCAAACGGTTCACCGCCGACCCTTATGCCTTCAAGTTTCAGTGGTGAGTAAAGCTTTATTGTTGAAACCCACTTTTAAATTTGTGAAAACTTTAATTTATTTATGAAAGCAGGAAAGGGAGACTTCACTGTTTCCCCCCCACATCTAGTCGATTTAAGACCAGCTCCACATCAAAAACACTATACCCAGACTTTTTAAATCTGGATTACTTCATCCCAGTCAAGCTAATGACATAGTTTCAGATTTGTGAAACCCCAATTGCCTTCGTGAGAATGCAAAATTATAGAATTGTCAAATTTTTTATACATATACACCACATTGGATCAGTTCTAGCCCAAAAGCCACTATATAATGTTGCAAAAAAGGTTAAATTTCCCTTAACTGATAAGATCAAGCTAAAAGTCAGAAACTAGCTTCAGCGCTGTACTGTCCACACTGTTGAATAATTGATGTAGTTAGCGATTATGACCATAATGCCATGGAAATGTGGGTGTAATGTGTGATGTTTTAAAGTATATTGGTGCTTGCTTGTGTTATAGCTGAATATAAGCTTTTATTGTTAGCAGTTAGCAGTTACATATAACTAAGATTAGCCCCAACTTCCACCAGGGGCAACAGTAAAGACATGCAAACTAATAACTATAATCTATCAACATAACAAACATTATTGCCAGAGCTGTCTTTCTGCATAATGAGTACTTTACCTTTGGTGCCTACAGTATATTTTCA